GGATTGTCGGGGCGCACCAGATCAGAGATTTTCCCTTTTTAACATCTCTAATCCGAGCCCCAGGTAGGCAGCAGACGTCCCTGTGGGATGGATCAGGTCGACAAATGGGCCCTTCTGTTCCCCTCAGAAGGGAGTCACCCACCACAATTACTCCTATTTTCTTCTTCATTAAGGAAGTTCTAAGGCATGGGGGTGAGTGACGAGCCCTAGGTGACTCACTAGATAGATCTACCCCTCCATCTCCATTTACCTGGCCCTGTAGTTCCAAGACCTCATATCTGTTACTCAAGGGCAACTGGGAGGAAGGAAGGGATTGTGAGGGTTTTTGCTTACCTCTCTGAGGAGGGACCTCCCTCCATACTTCCTTGTCCCTTAAGTTTACTCCTTCTATCTGATGGTAGGAGGGAAGGGGATCTATCACTTGTTCAACCACTTCTCTCTGCCCTTGCCTTAGGGTGTGGCTCCCACCAATCAATTTCACTTTCACACTCTCTGAAAACTCACAACCATTCTACGTCCTCCCTCAGTTCAACCACCTGCTTTAGCAGGTCATCTACTTGCTGACACCGCACACAAGAGGTGTCACTGGTCTCTCTGATACAACTGTCAGTCACAGGAAGCTAATGTTGATCTACTAGGAAGAATACATGCTTTAGAGCCCTCCTCTTCCAAAATGCTGACAGAAACCAAACAGAGGCAATGATACCCATTGATGCTGTCCCTAGAGTTCTGGAGAAAAAGGGCTCTTTTGAAAGGCTGACAAGAGGTATGTAGTAAAAATATTCAAATTGTTGTATATTGTTCCAGCGTCTTTTCAATAGACATTCCAGCCTGGCAAACATTTAGAAGCTAATTACTTTAATAACTTTGTTACTAGTGACTCAGTGCTTTGGACTTATCATAAAAACTGAGTCAGTGGTTCATCTGGGTGTTACTGGTGGCAGAAGTTGTTGAGAGGTTTGGTGGAGGCTGTTTATAATCTTCATGTTTTTAATACTACAAGTATGAAGGTTATTCTGTAGGCTTAAAACTTCAAGTTAGCACAGTAAAACTATTTACCAAATTTTACTGACATTCTGTACGACATTCTGTACTATTAAATCCATGTTAGAATAAAAATACAATTTCTAGTGCTATTTTCTCAGCAGGGCATAAGATAAGAAGTGCGTAATCAAACCCGACCAAAGGGGTTTTTGCCCTTCTATAAGTAGCCTGCTAAATTTCTACAATGGATACTAAATTGTATTTATTTTGGGAGATTGCTACCCCACAAAGAGAATGACCAAATGGCACCTTCATCATACAAAGCATTTCATTGTCTTCCAGTTTTCTTTCATAACCTCCACGATACTCCATTGCTAATAGCAACAGCGTCACTTTTCCTGAGTTGTGAACCACAGTCTGAGATATGTATTTAATAATAGCTCTTAAATACAAAGAGAGGCATGGTCTGTTCTCTGGCAGGATTAAGAGTCTAATCTGGTTGAAACAAATGAAGCTAAAGGAAGTGATTTTAAAACACATAAGAAGTAATAACACGTATTCTAGATACTCCAAGTCAGCTCTATAGCCATGAATTTAAAGTGAATTATAGGGTGGATTAAAAGTCAATAAGCCTTCTGATCCAAGAGCACAAACTATCCAAGAACATGCTAGGTGTGGCCAGAACATCTTCCAAGTATTCAGATGAAACATAATATTAACATAACTTGCTCATATTTAAGATGCTGCTTTCCTTTAAAACTACACTAATATCCCTTCCCTCTACATTCTTTCATCCTCAAGTCTTTCCCCAAATAGGCCTCAGCTTTCTCTCTGATACAACCAATGAGACAATATATTTTTTAAATGAAATTAGCATGATTTACTTATTACCTAAAGAATAAAGACAGAATTTGGGATTTGTATTATGCAGACACTTATGTTTCAAATTACATTATAGTATTCTCTGCACTTGGTATTTTACTAATAATTGATGTTACCGATATTGATGATATCCATATCCATATAAAAGAATAAACCACTCTTAAATATTCAAATTGTTGATAATTTCCTTTACTAAGCTAATGCTCACTGTAAGAAGACCAATCAACCAATTTTTATAAAAACAATTTTTACATACAGTTTTCCCAAGTTTGAGAATGAGTTTTTCAGCATTTATATGATCTGTAAAGTTCGGATGAGCTTTTCTCCTGCGATAATCTTCATCAGTAAAAGCAATCGCAGGATCTTCCTGCAAAGGAAAAAATGTAGCTGCTACACATTGTTGTAGGACAATATTTAAAGGGCTAAATGATTAAAATAAGTCCTTCAAAATAGTTTTAAAATCTGTTTTAACTTTGGTTTAATTTAAATTAATAAAATTTCTGATTCTGATATTTGAGGTTCAACATTTTGAAAGCTTCAATAGTTCAATTTTCACAGTAAGATTTTAAACTACTTTTTATATTTTAAGAAACGTGAATTTTTATTATATATACAGCATTACACAAGCTTGAAAAACTATTTCTGTAACAGTGAATTTGAGAACTGCAACAGCATACTACAAAGCATACCCCATGGCTCCTGATGATACTTACCATATATAAAGATGTATCTATTTATCTCTCCATACACTAATTTAAATACGTATTTCATCAAATATGTAGTAAATATGGGATTTTTTCATGACTGAAAGACACAGCATAGTGTGGTTAACATAGCTTTAATGTCTTGTCTGAGCAGTTCCTAATGCCTGCCTATATCATCGTAGCCTTTTTAGAATCATAGAATAGTGAGGGTTAGAAAGGACCTTAAGATCATCTAGTTCCAACCCCCCTGCCATGGGCAGGGACACCTCACACTAAACTATGTTGCCCAAGGTTCTGTCCAACCTGGCCTTGAACACTGCCAGGGATGGAGCATTCACAGCTTCCCTGGACAACTCATTCCAGTGCCTTACCAGCGACAAAATAAATTTACCAATTTAAATTGTCCAACAGAATAAATTTAACAATTTCAGCAGTAAGTTCAGGGCAAAAGGATCATGAGAAAAAACGCGCTTGCTGACACTAGCTTCATTTGCTATTGTTGAAGTACATAATAAAATATTTTGTTTAATGTAATTTAATGAATATTTTCTATTCAATGGAAATATTCAGTTAAAAATAAAAAATTCACGTTTTCATATTACTCACGGGGTCAGGGGGTTTGCTTTTTGCCCAGCTCATTATTGTTGAAATGAGGATGAATAACTTCTGTGTTGCAAAATGCTCTATTTCCATATGTAGGGCTGTTAAATGAAAGAAAAGTTTTTAATTTATTTTGAACTGTATTTCTCGAACTGTATTTTTGCTTTTACATAAAGGTCCTGTATAGACATTTATACCATAATGTTCAATGGGTTATGTATTTTTAAGCAAATACTCTTTATTTGGGTTGGTATAAAATAATCAGGAAATAAAAAAATTGAAAAATAATGGTAATAAAGAATCAAATTACTGTAAATAAACATAACCTACAAAGAGCTATATATTGGGTGTGGGGTTATGGGAAGAAATGAACTATTAATGTTTATTGACTACTAAGGTACTGAAAGAAAATAAAAGTGTGGGTTTTGTCATGACTGAAATATAAAAACTACAGAATTAAACTTCCTTATTTTAATTTAAAGCAAAATAATTAAATGTGAGTTATGTAACTTATGATGATATCCAAGTCTTTATGCTACAAACAGGAAAGCATCATTTAGCTTAACTATCATATAAAGAACAATATTGTGCTGTTGCCATAGAAAGATTCTAGATAATCATTAGAAATTGGATCTAACAATCAGGAGAAAGACTCAGAAAGACCATTAGCAGTACTTTTTATTGGACTTCTAAGTAAAAATATTTTTTAAATAATTACATAAAATATTGAAACATTATTTGAATATTACAGGAGCAAATATTCTACCCATCTCCCAATGTAAATAGGTAAGATGATGGTTGATAGTTATTTAGGGAAATAACTACCTACACAGATACGTTATTTGCTGGAGCATTCCATGACAGCTTTTCTACCTTATGAATGCTAGTGTGAATTCCATGGTTCCTTGCTAACTAACAGAACAATTCCTGTGGCATTTCTTCATCAAGGAACCCAGTTTCATATTACAGTAAACTCTAAATCTCAAAGAATTTCATTATATATTTATGGTAAATTTAGATGGCTGTATAGCAACAAGCTTTCTGTTATAGTTGATAGCTATACTAACCAGAAGCAGCCCATATCGCTTCCTCTATTTGGTTTGCATCCTCAGTGATATTATACAAAACAATCTCACACTCAAGCAAGTGACTTAAGAGCTCTTCTCGAGAAGACACCTGGAGAAAAAGATTGTTATTATCTGTCATTAAGTAAAAAAAAAAAAAAAGGAGAAAAAAAAATCCAAAATTTCCTTCTTTCTGCTCAGGTTTAATTTACTGGTAGAATGTATTTTTCTAAAAGTAGGATGTTAGAATAATTCATAACACATGTATCAAATTTTATAAATAAAGTGATGAAATGTAAATCAAATGCAGAAACTTCTAATTTACAGTACACATTAATATAGTTCAAGATGATGTACAATTTTTACTGCTATTTCAGGATTCATATTTTCAGTGCAATTGTGAGTATCAAAAAAATAATCTTTATAGTCATTCTAAACAAAGTGGCAGAATGGAGAAGACAAAAAAAGAAGTCCATTTACTTGCAAAATTGCATCCTGTTGTTTTTGTTGTATTCCTTGCACCACTTGGGCAAGTCCAACAAACACTTTGGGCAAGAGTAATGATTAAGATTAAATTCCACCCGCCATAAATTAATGATTGAACAGCTCAGCTGTATAGAGGTTTACACTAATATTTTTTAAATCTTTGAAGAGATTCTGGATGTTCAATTTGAGACAGAGGCAACTTTAGTTTCAGAAAACTAAATCAAGCAATAAGCAATTACATTCTTAAAAGCAAGTCTCTTACAGTTAACTAAACTCTGGACATATCTTCATAAAAAGATCCAAGTATTCAGAACAATTAGCTGCTAGTGAAAGCTGATTTTAGTGAAGAATTAAGAAGGGGGACACTAACTTTGATTCCAGCACCACTACCTTTAAAATGGTGATAAAAGACACAGAAGAGACAAGAGATACTTGAGGTGTGTGTTCTGAAGGAAAAAAGAAAGCAGATCTGCAGATTATGAGGATAGATGATGTCCTGTCCATAACTATATTTTCTAAAAAGTCTACTTTGAGTCTGAGTTCCCTCCTTTTACAATTTGCTGTATCAGACCTATCAGAGAAGACAACAGCATGGAGGAAGCAGAAGAAACAAAATACATGTGTACAGCTGCCAGCAGCAACAAAATACCAGTTTATTAATGCAGGCCATTTTACATGACCTATTTCATGTCAATATTTCTATTGTCTAAAGCAATCTGAAGTAAAACACTTACCAAATACCTTTCCTCTGCAAAACTTGGTTTAGTACTCTCTGGTTTAGAAAGTGTACCCACTATTCGGTAGACCCCCTCCTTTGGCCTATTAGAAACTTCAGCAGCCGAATTATCTTCCTCTTCCTCCTCCTCCTCTTCTATGCTTTCAAGTGATGCCCCAACAACACATGTGGATAAATACTGCAATTATACAAGACACACACTTGTATGCAAATATATATTGAACCCTACACAGCTTCTCATGATCTTGGGAAGGTCCCAACTACCTCTGATCCTGTTGTAAGTAACACACCTTTCCACTGAACAGGAAAACATTAGGGACTCCTCAACCCCATATGTAATGACTTACATCCTACACCTCAAAGTCAAAGGAGTCCCTGGATGTCTCTTCACAGCCTGACTCTTCTCAGGCTGGTGTTATCTCAGAGATCTGTTCTCTCTCCACAGCGATCAGCTGTTGCCTGAGGTCTCCCGACCTGCATTATCCACACCTCCTGCCCCTAACTTTCATTTTTCTCCTCCTTTTAATCCCTTCTTGCCCCCAGTTCATTTCCTTAGCAGCTATTTTAGGTGATCCCAGCCACCTTGGAGGCCAACCACAGCTTCCTGCTGCGCTACCAGCCGAGGGACAGGCGGGAGCTCCCCGCGAAGGGCTGGGGCAGGCAGGAGGGCGGTGGCGTCCCAGGCAGCTACCGCTGTGGGAGAAACCGCCCCTCCGCGGTCACCTCGCCGATGCTGCGGCCGCAGTAAGAGTCGAGATGGTTGAGGAAGACCCGCCGGCCCTGCGCCGACTCCTCCGACATCGCCACAAACTGTGCCGGCGACGCGGACCGTTGCTGCGCGACCAGCAGCGGCTGCGCAGTGTGAGCAGTGGCGGTACCGGGCACTGCGGCCTGCCCTGCGGCCGGCGAGGGGCGCTGCCGCCTGCCCTGCGGGCAGGGGCCGGAGCCAGCGCGGGTCAGGAACTAGAGGCATGTGTGCCCTCCCTTTTTGTTCCTAATTTTGTCCGGCAAACAGCGATAGCGGTAGTCAATAAATTAGAGACTTTTTTCCCCAATTTCTCGACGCCGAACAGAACAAAATGTACCTTTCAGGTAGGAGGCAGGCTGTGAGGCTTTCTTGGTAATTCATAGATTAACAGCTACATTAGACCAATCAGGACTCGTTCAGGGGTTCGGATAATGAAAACAACCGAGAGCCAAAAAGAGACCTATTTAAATTCTCCATTGCCAGGGCTGCAAAGAAGCTCCTTCCATACAGGCAACAACCGGGATAGGGAGCATTTTCTTCACGCTCAGTACCCCAGACACAGAGAAGTGTCGTAACTTTCCCATTCTTGAGTTAACACTGCAGGACATTATACTAAACAAATTTCTTTCTGGTAACACCTACAAAACACCTGTTTCTAAAGAATTTCTTAGCTTATGTTTATAATAAGCACACAAAATAACAAAGTATTTTAAAGATGTCAAGGCAGCAAAGTATCCTAGCAATGTAACATTTAATTTGGCATTTTTCCACTTGTATTTCTAACACTTCCTTTCCAAGTCCCTCTTTACAATCACCTGCCTTGTTTTCCCATGACTAAGTTTCAGCAGACACAAGTTTACAGTCAAAGGTTTTCAAATGGTTGTTAAATATTTGTTTGTTTTGTTTTTGTTTTTTTTTTTATGGGCATGATGACTTTGTTGTTCTCTATCCCCCTTTTCAATGGCTCCCCCCAAGAAAACTACAACACACCAGTTTACTTATTTAATGCTTTAGTTACTGAAATTCATCAAGTAAATTAGTTGCACGGAAAAATATTCAAATATAAATTTGAGTACATTCTCCTCACAGAGGACTAACCACATACCACAGACCTGTGTGCAAAAGAGAGCCTATGAACAATTTTTACAGCATGGAAGCATACCCTAGGGCAGAGGATTAATATCAGAAGTTTCAACCTAAAATGATAACAAGCTCTGGAAAGCAGAAGCACTAACTACAGTTATCTTGTCAGTCACAGCTGTACATCACTACCCCAAAGCTACTACAAAACCACTACAAGGCTTCTCCAATTAACACAAATAACCCTTAGCAGGTAGAAGACAATATAGCTCTACTGAAGTCACTGGAATCTGTGACTTCATGAAAACTGATGTATCTCTAAGTGTGGCCCCAAAAAGCTACTGCACCTACCTGTTACAAAAGCATGGTGGGATTATTTAAATAAATATGCACAAATACTGAATAATACAAGAATACAAAAAGTATGATAATCACAGAATGTTAGTTCAACAGTATTTCTAACCAACTGTAATTTTAAAAAGTCTACCATTCAGTACATACTTGAAAAGTTACAGCAGAACAATAGATTCATAAAGAGATTTGTACCAGTTTGCAAGTAGAAAATACAAGTTATCTCTTCCAGTTTGTATTAGTCTTAGCAAATTTCATACCGCCTTTGGTTTCAAACCAATACAATGCAATTAAAATTACAGTGCTTACATAGTATTCATTAGGAGAGGACGCTGTACAATTGAAGGATAAAATGTGAAAAACAGGAGTACCAAAGTACGGTATTATAGAAAGTAAAGGCTGAAGCAAAAATACTCTTCGATATATCCTGTACATCATGTAAACACACATTCAGAGTAGTAAACAGGCTAAAATGTCTTTCAAGCCTCCCAGTTACAATATAACATACATATATATAGCATATATAACACCATATTTAGGAAAGGTAGCCCATTACATCCAAACTCTGTGCTTAACTCTTGCAATTCAGACAATACATTCATATATTAGCAGTACATCTCATTTATTATTTGGAAATTGCTGGTTGCTATAGACGAGGACTGATCAGATAAAACTGAAGCTTGCTTTTAACTCAAATACTGTCACTATATAAGCAATGTTTGACTGTTGAAGAACCATCTTTCTTGTTAACAAATGTGCAGCAAATTAAGCTGAAATTCTGTTCTTTGCAGAACAGTAGTTTTCCCAATTATTTTTCATTATTTGGGTAGAGCAAGTAGTTAGCTTCTATTTTAAAGAGCAGATATGAAAAACTATCAGTAAGCACAAACACAAAAATTAATACTTGTATATTTAACATTCACTCTCTTTTTTTAAAGTTTGGATAATAACTCTGAAAAGAGACCAAATTTTTTGAAGGTTGTAAGAAGCAACTTGCTCACATACAACAAAAAAGTAAAATTAAGAAATGCTTGTTATTTATCAAAGGGGCTTTTAATAGCACTGTGATATATGCAAATCCATTGTAGCAAAATGTTACAGAGTATTACTAGCAAGAATGGGATATTAATGTAAAAAATGAAGCTTAAGATACTTGTGATTACGTTTGTAAGAAAGATCTCGGAGCCTCATATTAACAGTTCTTTCTAGATGAAAACTTCCTTGCATGTGGGTAAATCACAACTGACTGTCTTTCTTCAAAGCTTCTAGTCTTTGTAGTAATGCATTCCCAAACACCTCTCGATATGCAGGGCTGAGAGAGTCCAATAAGGAGTAGACAGTTTCATGGTATGGAGTTTGCAATCTGTCATCAGCCTGATCAAAATCATAAGCTACTACCTGCAACAAAGAAATAACTGGTTAAATTTCTGTGGTTAGGATTTCCTTGCCATGGGAAATAGGTATCACAACATTTAATTTTGCTAGTCAGGGTAGTAGAGTAACGTAAAAACAAAAGATACTGGATTCAGATTGCAATCTGAGCTTTCTACAATGTGGCTGAGTGGCAACACAGTATTTAGACAGTTTCAGATATCTTTTGTCCAAAACTCAGAATACTAGTAACATTTATCATTATGACCTTTGAAGAGAAGTTGTTCATCTACATGATGGCATAAAAAATACAAATGATGCAAAAAGAGTTGTATACATGCTGTATTACCAACTTAACTGGGTATCCGAGAAACCCCAAAACTGACATGCACCTGTAACAAATTGCTGTCAATTTTTGTGTCTCAAATAAATGCCTGGGTTTTCATGAGTTTCCCTCTTGCTTTGCTGTAAGTAACTAATTAAAGTTCTACTTGCTAGGAGAAAACATGTAGAACAGGCTGTAACAAAAGTACAAGAGGAACATGTATGTTGATGTATTTTTCTAAGCATCTTTTGAACACAATCATTGTTCAAAACAGAGGCTTAAGAAATTTTAAACAAATTAGTTTACCCTGAGTCCTGCTTCAGTGAGCTCCAGGCAGTATCTGTTCCTTTCCCTGGTTTCCACATTGATATATGCCACATCCTCAGCACAAGGAAGGGTTTTCGAGACAAACATGTTGCTGACAGCGAACAGAACATCATTCACAACAGCTTCAGCTTCTAGTCTCATATCTTTCACATCTGTTCCTTCAAATTCTCTATAATCAGGATCCTCTTCAAACTCTGTGTTATTAGGCAACTCCACAGGACTGCAATTGGTCTCCATTCTGCATATGGAAACATTTATTTTAGATTTATTATACCACTATACTCAATATATATTAACACTGTAAAACAAAGAGACATATCTTAAACAGACATATTTAACACTGTCCAAAAAAGGAAAATATGAGACACAGTGACTTCTGGAACTCATGACAGTCCAGAGAACTCAAACCCAAGATGAACAAACTGAGAACAAGTGCTAAAGAAAGTTACATTAGCATGTACAAGCAGTATCAGTATTGCTGAAGTTGCTTCTTATGCAACTAACTCACATTGTGTTGTATAAGACTGTTATGATTCAGCAGTAATTAATTCTGCATTTTGCTGATCCAGAATGCAGTAGCCTGGAAAAACTAAAATCAATTGCTGTAAAAAATAAAAACCTATTCGTGAATTTTAGAAAAACTTAGAACAAAGTCTGTTCTCAGAGAGTATAGACACGTAAACACCAGCTTTCTGCTCAGAGTCACAATTCTCCTATTCAGCTTTTATGCACAACTGTCAATACATTTCCCCTTTGTGAGGGACTGTTGTTACTAAGAAGGGACAGACTCTTCGGGTGTGACCACCGCGAGTCCAGCATTAGGCTTCTCAGGTACCAGTGTGGCCAGAAGGCCTCAGCCAACCTACCCCACAAGGAAGCCTGCCCCAGCACCGGGGAAAGCTCCTTGGGAAGTGGCCCTGAGTGCTCTGGTAGCTGCTGCCAGGATAGAAAAGGAGCTGGCTATAACCGATCTGCAACACGCAAGACGTTCGATGCATGAGATTTATCATTCCCTAACAAATACCACCTTGGATCTACACATATATTCCGAAGACTGAAGGCAACAGGGGAGCTGGCCACCGATCTCCGCAGTTTCTCATTAGCAGCGAATCACTCTGATTCACTGACAGCAGAACAGCCATAGATCACGCCTGCACCGCTGCCCCGAGGAGCGCGGCCAGGAGCGCCGCGTCCCGGGAGCACACCTACCAGCCCCGGCGGCAGGCAGTCGAGGCACGGCCGTCCGACGTCAGAAGGCTCCGCTCCGCCCTGAGATGCGCTGCCCGCGGAGAGCAGCCCGCCCCGCCGCTTTCCTCAGGGCCGCTCACCAGAGAGGCGGCCCCAGCCGCCGCCGGTCAACAGAGCGATCCCGGCGACACCCACCAGCGGAGGCCCCTCTGATGCAACACCCATCACTCCCCACCGCCTGCGATCACTTCCTCCCCCGCCTCCTCTTCTCGGTAACGCCATTTCCGTGAGGACGTCACGGTGCCGGTGACGGTGTTTGGTGGGAGGCGGGGGGTACGCGGAGAGGAAGGAGGCAAACAGCCTAACGCGGCTCCGGTCGGCCGTCTTCGCCGGCGGTGCAGAGCTGACGCGGTTGGGGGGTGATTCTGCTCGTTCACTGGCCCCCTTCCCGCTTAGCGCTGCGTCTCGTTGCGTAGAGCGTGGCCGCGGCGGCCCTCTCCGCATTCCCGGGCTGCCGAGAAGAT